TCTCATAATCATCATCGATTTCTCTTCTCGATTATAAAATCGTGCGAAGTTACATTTTTAGCACAAATTGTCCTTCTCGAAAATTAATGCGGAAAGTTTACAATTTATTTTTTAATTTAAATCGGAAGGAAATGAATCAAGGATATATCTATGACACGATAAGGATATTTAAAAGACATTCCAATGATTTAGGAATTTTTAAAAAAATGCTTTTCTGTCTTTGATGCCTCTTTTCTTTTATATGTATAAGCGAGCGCTTTTAGTTTGGCGCTTATACGATCGCGAATATCTATCGAAAAAATATCGTTGTCGGTGATTATCGTCGAGTTTATCATTGTCATTAGATGCGCGGGAATCTGGTTACCGAGCTGCTCGAATAGAAACAACAGCAAAGTGCGTATGTTCATAGAGCGCGAAATATATTTCGTAACGAGCAGCTGGACGACGTTGTAAGGAGAATCCGCGGAGACTTTAACGATCACAGTTGCAGATAAGACGAGCTGACTTGACGTGTGTCGTGATAATAATTTCGCGATTTATCACGACATCGATCCGCTGTTTCTCTACGCGAATATTGATCTTTGCTGCTTGGAAACGCCGGTGCCATATGCTAATATTTACACGACGTTCGGGAAAGAAGTTGCTACAAATTTCGAGTTAATTTCTCCTTGCAAAATTATCTTTTAATATCAGATATTGAGAAAGTAAATAGTTATTTATTCTATATTATTAAGTTAAAATAAATTAAATAACATAAATATAAATGTAGTGAAATCTTAATTTCTATTTAATTTCAAATTTTCAAGATTTCGATTTGATAATATTTCAGTTATTTCAATATAATATAAGTTATGAAAGATCATAATACTCAATCAGGAAAACTTTCCCTCAAGAAATAATCGATTTGAAACGCTCGAAGAGCGGCGATTTCTCTTTTTCCTTTCTAGTATTTTCTTACAGCTCAAGCGTTTATATCGCTCATCGTCCCATATAGCGTGCTCCAATAATGTACGTGTATTTCCGGTATCAGACGATGCTTTCCGAAAGCTCGTTAAATATGCATTATCAACTTATACGAGCACGCTCACTCCCGCAAGGACACATCGCGATCAATGAGTACCGTGACGTTATACCGTTGCAATCCGTGTGGAATAATCGCTTGAAAATATCCGAATCGCCAATTATACGGCTTCGTAATGAGCTGCTAATTAGTAGATAATTATACGGGGCAGCAACGTCTGAGTAAGGTTCGTTCTACTTCACCGGGTGTTGATTACCTGAGAAATAGGAAACGTGGAACCGCGAGCGCGATTTCTTCGAGACCGAACGCTGTCGCAGTGATTTATGACGTTTCGTCATAAGGAAGATGATCGCGCTCGTGCGAGATGATGACGCGTCTTCTCGCGCACGACAATATTCATTCTGACGTAAATTACGTGACTGCGTATTGCGTAGCGTTATCAATCCGCGAGAGATGTTACAAGAAACGAGATACCGAGTACGTGGCGATATGAGTCAGTTTCTTTCTAATTCGAACAAACGTGTCCCGCGGTTGACAGCTTATAGTAGTATTTGCTATTTGTTAACTTACAAAAAATTTGATTGATGATATTCTTATCTCGTTTATATTTCAAGTCCACATATCACAAGAGATTGTAAAATTTTAAAACCCGAGAGATCTGGAAGATTGTTAAATTAATTCTTAAGAGCGATTAATCTGAGATTAATTTTATATATAATATATTTATTTATTAAAGAT